GTTCTACTCTGTCCTATAGGATCGCTATGAGTTGGAATCAACTCTATGGCAGTGAGTTTGTACCCAAGAGTTGACTCAGCAAGGCAAATCTCACAGTTTTAAGACAGAGGAGACTGGTGGCTTCAAATCCATCTCAGAAGTAAGATCTGGCAGTGTTCTTCCAAAAGGTCAAAGCCTTGAAAACTCCATGGAGTAGTTCTACTCTGACACCTGGGGTTGCCATGAGTCAAAACAGACTCAGGAAGGAGAAAGGGCACTGGAAGGTATTAACTAATCTTGGGGACCATCACCTTTGAGTTGAAGACAGAAATGCAGTTGTTTTACAACTGCCCCTCCTTCCCAATAAAGGTAGTATTCAGTTTTTCCATTTGTCACCACTGATGCATTTGCGTGGGGTGCCAGCAAAAGGAATGATCGATAAAGCACTGGATTTAGGGCACCTCTAACTGTGTGACCTTGGGCTCACTCCACCTCTGCGCGCTTCAGTCTTCTCATCTGTAAAACGAGGATCAAGCTTCCTGCCTTAACTATACCCCCGGTTTTTGTGAAGATGCAAACTGAATGTATACGAAAGCGCCTCATAAGCGCTAGAGAGCCTTGCAAGTATGTTTAATTATATTTTCCCAACAACTGGGCGTTCCGAAAAGAAAGGCCATCTGCCAGCTTGCTTTGTCACTCTCATTTCTTCGCGACCTTTATTAACTTATTTATAATTATAGAAATAACTCAAATTCTATGGCCATTTCTGGAACCAGATTCTTGGGCTTCACCAGATACACCAGCAAGTGCCGGGTCCGCTCGATGCCGCAGGAAACTTAGCTCCTCTCCTGCACCCGCAGGCGGGCCTTCGCCCTTTTGGTCCCACTACTAGGAGTTTCCGAAGCCAATCCCCACAGCCCTGGTTCACAGCACCGCCCCTTGGAGAGGGGAAACACTACGGCGGCCCGGGAAGAACGACAGGGGCGTGAGCCAATCACTGCAGAGTGCTATCCTCATCCGGCAAGGCCCAGAGGCGGGGTTATCAACCAAGATGGACACCAAGAGCGGCCAATAGAATTATCGGGAACTGGAGAGAAGGCGGGCGCCGGGCGCTCACAGAGCGGTTAAGGCCCCTCGAGCCAAGGGCCCACCGACCCGACTCAGACTACTGCTCTTTCCTTTACCACTCCAAAGTTCTCTATCCCACGGTTGCGGGACGGCCGCCCTGCCTACGAACTGAGTGAGGGAGGACGGAGGCCGCGGCAGCTGAACCCGCCTGTCAGGCTGGGCCAGTGACAAAGAGCCGGCGGCCCAGGCTGAAACCCTAGAAGCGATCCCTTTGGGGAGGAAAGCATAAGTCCCTTTAGAAATAGGAAAGATGTAACTCACGTTGTCGATCACGACGGGCTGGTTGGCGATTACATCGTAGGACTCCATGGTAAAGGAATCTCTCCTTCCGAGGAAGGAACTGCCAGCCCAGTCTGCAGCTAACGCCTCTGACACGCATGCGCAGTCTAGCCGCCGGCACAAGGCAGCTGGGGGTGGGGGTGGCCAGTCTCGCCTTCGAAGAACTACAATCCCCAGCATACTTTGCACCAGAATTAGCTAACAAGCCAGCTTCAGAGAGCCGCCTCTTAAACGTGGACTGGTCGTCTCATCGTACAGTATTCTGGGGTTTGTAGTGTCCACAGAAAAATAGATGGAGACACCGATTGATGGTTGTGTTGCATGCTTGGATGTGTAGTTCCCTTGAAAGGGTTCGCAGTGCATGCTGAAGTGTGTAGTCTTCTTAGTTGTCTGTAGTTCAATATGAATTGGTGCACGTTTGGATTTTACAGATCAGTCCTGCTGCCTCCTCCTCCACCTGCCTTGGACAATATAAAGTTGCCATTTTTCATTACCAATCTGTGATGACACAACCTTGCTTGAGGGGATTTGAAGCACTTACTGATGAAGATTAAAGACTACAGCCTTCAGTATGGATTGCACTTCAATGTAGAGAAAACAAAAATCCTCACAATAAACATCATGATAAACAGAGAAAATATTGACGTTGTCAAGGATTTACTTGGATCCACAATCAACAACCTCTTTAAAGTGTTAGAAAGTAAGGATATCACTTTGAGGACTAAGGTACATCCCACCAAAGCCATAGTCTTGTCAATGGCTTCATAAGCCTGCAAAAGCTGGACAATTAATACGGAAGGCCGAAGAATTGATGCCTTTCAATCATGGTGTTGGCGAAGAATATTGGATATGCCATGGACTGCTAGAAGAACGAACAAATCTGTCTCGAAAGAAGTACAGCCAGAATGCTCCTTAGAAGTGAGGATGACTAGACCTTGTCTCACATACTTTGTTCATGTTATCAGGAGGGACCAGTTCCTCATGCTTGGTAAAGTAGAGGGTCAGTGAAAAAGACGAAGACACTCAACAAGATGGACTGACGCAGTGGCTGCAACCATGAGCTCAAACAGCAATGATTGTTAGGATGGCACAGGACCAGACAGTGTTTCATTCTGTTGTACATGTAGTTGCTATGAATCATAACCAACTCCATGGCACCTAACAACAACAGCAACATGTTTTTTTATTTGAGTCTATGAGACATTAAAGGGAGCTCTCGTGGCACAGTGCCTAAGGCATTTGACTGCTAACCAGAAGGCTGGCGGTTCAAACCTACCAGCCACTCCTCAGATGGGGCAATATACTTCTGTAGAGATACCACCTTGGAAACCCAAGGAGGGGTCACTATGAGTCGGAATCGACGCGGTGAGTTATAAGACGTTAAAAAATAAACATCTATTACTGTCACACTCTGACAGAAAGGATATTTTAATACACATACACACAAGAAAGGATATATTCTCAGAACAAAGGAAATCATTGAAACTGCATAAAATTAGATGGAAGAGAAAAACCAGTACATTGTTGCTGCTATTCACGTTGTTTCCCTGATAGGTGTAAACTTTGTAACAGATTGACATTGGTCTGAAGACTGGCATTTGGAGCTACTGGCATAGGTGAACTTTTAGTCATTAAAATATTGTTCACCTGCTGCAAAAGACCTCTTTAAAGTGCTGAACAGCAAAGATGTCTCCTTGAAGACTAAAGTGCACCTAACCCCAAGTGATGGTATTTTCAGTCACCTTATGTGCATGTGAGAGTTGGACAGTGAACAAGGAAGACCAAAGAAGAGTTGCTGCTTTTGAATTAATGGTGTTGGAGAAGAATGCTGAAAGTACCATGCACTGCCAAATGAACAAACAAAACTGTCCTGGAAGAAGTACAGCCAGAATGCTCCTTGGAAGTGAGAATAGCCAGACTTCGTCTGACTTGCTTGGTCATGTTGTCAGAAGGGACCATTCCCTGGAGAAGGATATCATGTGAATCTAACCAAACTTGAATTGGTGGATATTTGGATTTTACAGGACAGTCTTGCCCACTCTTCCTCTACCTCCCTTGGACAATAAAAGGAGCATGACCTTCGATGAGATGGATTGACACAGTGGCTGCTATGATGGTCTCAGGCATATCAAGGATTGTGAGGCTGGCATAAGACTGGTTAGTGTTTCATTCTGTTGCCCATGGGGTTGCTATAAGTCGGAGCCGACTCGACGGCACTTAACAACAACAGGGATTTCACCTGCTGCTCTAGTAGCTCTTTAATTTTCACAGAAGGCTAGAATTGGCGTGATTTTGAAAGATAAGGAAATAAAGGTGAAGAGAGGCTATGTGTTACTGCTGTCAGTAACACATAACAGAAGTTATGTGCTATTTTTATCTAACTTTTCTCTAGTGCATCTTTCCCTGATAAAGGTGCAGAGACCCTTTGGTCAATAACCCTGGTATGCACTCCCTTCCCTCCCCTTTCTCTTAGCATTTGTTCAAGATCACTGAATGAAAGCATTATTGTAAACAGGAAAATAATTTTTTCAATCCAGTGCCTAAGCATTAAAATAAAAATTCCCCCAGGTACAGAGAATAAAGATAATGGGAAAGGAAAGACCCATAGTGGATAACAAATATTGATACTCCTCAAAGCAAACTGCATGCATTCTACCTAAAGCAGAACAAAGAAAATAATTATCATCTTTAAAAGCATTTGTTAAACAATTCCTAAACCTCCTAAACCGTATCAATGGACCCTAGTTTAACCCATTGTTGTTACTTTCTGACCAAACCCATTGCCAGTGGATTCTGATTCATAACAATCCTACATGGCAGAGTAGAACTAACTGCCCCATATGGTTTCCAAAGCTGTAATCTTTACCATTGCCCCATCTTTCACTCAGGAGAGGCTAGATGGGTATGAACCGCTGACCTTTCAGTTAGAAGTAGAGGCACGCTTGACCACTGAGCCACCAGGGCTCCTCTGCTCTCTGACAGAACTCCTTAATAAGTATTATTACTTGTTGACTAATTTTAGGAGCCGTGGTAGCACAGTTAAGTCATCGGCTGCTAACTGAAAAGTTGGCAGTTCTAACACACTCAGGGCTCCGCGGGGAGGAGGATGTGGTAATCTTCGTCCGTAAAGATTACAGCCTTGGAAACCCTAAAGAGCCGCTATGAGTCGGAATTGACTTGAAGACAATGAGTTTTAGTAGTGTCAGTTTAGTACTTCAATGGAATAGCCAAAAACAGTAGGAGACATTGGATTAATAATCTATTAAAACCAATGCCACACGGACGAATTAATCACTGTCAGATTTATGTAAATATTGTGTAAACGGAACAGTGAATAACGTTGTATCGTTGCTCTTCAGTGTCTTTCGTGGGCCCCTAGCACCTCACAAGCACGCAGTCCTCAACGACTCTATTTAAACGTGTCTTCCTTCTAACGCTAGGGGGAGACCAAGAGCTTTGGTACACCACCCCCAATGCGGAGACGAAGAGGCGGGGCCTATTGTCAGATCACGCCTCCCCACCTGTGACTGGCAGAGATGCTAGCCAATAGGTGCCAGGATAGGGCGCGTCGGCGCCACGCCCCCTTGAGCGCCCAGCCACCCCCAAGCACCCTCTGGCCGACTCCGCCGCGGCGGCTGCGGCCTGGGCGGACAGTGTTCGGTGCGCAGGCGCGGAGCTTAGACCTCGCTGCAGCCCCCATCGCCTCGGGGAGTCGCACCCACGGAGTCCGCCCGCTGACCAGTCAGTGCTCTCCCCCTCACCCACCCTCCCCAGCTGCCCCAGCACCCTACGCACCCCAATGGCGGAGCTGCGGCCTAGCGGCGCCCCCGGCCCCACCGCGCCCCCAGCCCCTGGCCCTACTGCCCCCCCGGCATTCGCCTCGCTCTTCCCTCCGGGACTGCACGCCATCTACGGCGAGTGCCGCCGCCTTTACCCTGATCAGCCGAATCCGCTCCAGGTTACCGCTATCGTCAAGTACTGGTATGCCCTGGGCCGCGGGGAGACAGACGAGGGGGCTGGGAATGGTTAGAGCGGGGGCGAAGAGATTTGCGGAAGGAGAAGGGAGGAGAAGGGTTAAAGGATTTGCAAGGACGGCTTCCTGCTGTGAGGAAAGAGTTAAGGCGTAAGTTGGGGATGGGGACAAAAGGGTTAACGGAGCCCATGGGCAGTGAAGGGTTAACGGGGGAGGGGAGGATGCAGGGTTAATAGCGATTAGGATAGAATAAGAATTGGGGTGTGTGAAGCAGCAGAGAGGGGTGCGTTATGAGAGAGGGAACTGTAAACTGATGAAGGAGGGGGCTCTAGCATGGGGTCATTAGTGGGCGGGGGGAAGCCAAGGGTGGGGGTCGACAGCCAAGAGTGGTGGTCGGCTGAAGTGGAATGGAAAAGGCGAGGCGGGGCCTGGGGCGCAGATGAGAGACCCTGGGCTGGAGTTCAGAGGGCACAAGACTGCATAGGATAGGGGCGACCGCATAGGATAGGGACGAGTTCTGGGGTTCTCCTGAGAGAGGGCAGCCAGTTGAAAGAGTTGTGCTTGTGAATGGATGAGGAGGTCTCCTTTTGATACCGTCTTGATTAGCTCAGGGCCAAGCTTTTGCTTCTGAAGTTTGAGGAGCAGGTCTTCCCGATGCACTTTTGCTTACTCTGCAGTGTTCCTTCTAGATGCAGACTCCCTTGTAGCTCTGCAGCTGCTTTGGCTTGGGATGGAAAGGGACCACAGCTTCCCACTTCCAGTAGGAAGTAAATGATGGAGAACTGGGGCCGTGCAGTGGGATTTTAAGAGGCGTCGTTTCCTTGCCGTGCACTTTGGGATTTAGGCAGTAGTTTCTTAGGGCAGCTGAGGAGCAGGTTGGCTGACAGATGGGCTGCCCTGGGGGTGGGAATGCCTCCTTTCTAGTTTCCCCTCTGTATTTGCAACTTGTCTCTTCCTCCAGCCTCTGGGAAAAACAGGTGTTACTGGACTCTGGAAGAGAGCCCATCCTCTTGGTCTCTCTGGGCCAAATGTTGACTGAGGAATTGGTTGAGTCTGTCCAGGACCACACTTACACAAGCACTGTATTAGATGTTCTTCAGTGGGTTCTGAAAGGCATTTCAGAAACCTAGCTGCTTGGGGTGTGGCCAAAGGGGCAGGTAGCCCCAAAGGTGGAAGAGACTGGGAGTCTTGGCTGGTTACCTCTCCCATGGGGACTGGGTCTCTCTCCTCCGTGGCTGTCTCTTATTTCCTCTGGAGATAGCAGTTGCTAGACTGTGCAGAGTTTAGACTTGCTCCCTATGTTGGTGGGAGAATAGCACCAGGGCCTTGGGACCTGCTCCTTCAGGAGGGCCAGGGGGAGCAGCTAGCCTGTCTGTCCCAGCAGCCAGGAGGAGGTGTGGCTGGCAATTCAGTTCTCTCCAGCAGGCAAACTGTTCTTTGGTTGAGAGGAGTTTTTGGAGTGGCTCTGAGTGAAATGCGGCTCTTGCTAACTTAACTAGCCGTTCTAATTTGTTGTTGTTGTTGTTGTTATGTGCCGTCGAGTCGGCCCCGACTCATAGCGACCCCTCCCTTGGGTTTCCGAGGCAGTATCACTACGGAAGTAGGATTGCGCAACCTTCCTTCCGAGGAGTGGCTGGTGGGTTTGAACCGCCAGCCTTCTGGTTAGCAGTCAAGTGCTTTTAGCTGTTCTAATTACACCTCTCCATTTAAATATGTGTTGGGAGGAACTCTTTTGAAGCTGGGCATACAACTGGTTCATTCCAGTTCAACTCCTTGGGGATCTTGTTAAAAAAATGTAGATTTTGATTCAGTATATCTGGGCTGGAGAGGCAAGTTCTCAGCAGGTGGTCAAACCAGAATGAACCGGTTCAGAGCTTTGGGTTGACCTGTGTCTTGAGAAAAGCGGGTCTGGCTCTTCTGCCATACTGTTTGTTCAGGCCTACTTTGACTGTGAGGAGAAATCCCTCCACAGACTGAGGCAACTTTTTATCTGTTACCTAAATGGCAGTAAATGATGGTGCGGCGTATAAGAGCGTTGAAACACATGCAAATGACTCAGACTAGATTGGGCAACTTTTTTTTTTTCCCCTCCATGGTTTAAGCTTGTTAACCTGGTTAGAACTTAGCTCCAGAGATGGGCCACCATGTAATGATGAATAAAGGGATTGTACTGCAGCACTTGGGGAAGTTAGAAGTGCTGCCTAGTTGAAAGAGGGGGGAAAAAACAAATGAGAAAACGGCCCAGTGATTGGATCTGTCAGAGATTCAAAAGGGTTTGCATAATTGGGGTCCTGAAACTCATTCATATCCCTCACATTTGGGATCCTGTGTGTTGTGTGGCTCCTTGAAGCCCCTTCAGTTCTCCTAGCAGGATGGTTGATTGAAGCAGCCTGGGATTCCTCTTTCTGCAGTGGAAGGATGGCTCTTTGGCTGGTGGTGCTGGCCAGGGATGACCTGGCTGAAGGCTGAGACTTTAGTAAGCAGGGAGCAGAAGCAGAGAGGCAGAGCCTGTGATCTGGTTATATTCCAGTCTTGCGTCTGGCCTGAGGAGTGAAGTTAGGAGTTGGAGGCCCCTCTCCTGTCTAACTAAGTTGAAGGATACTCTGGGTCCTTGGCTAACATCTTTCTCTAAGTGCAAAATAAGACTGTTTCCCACGTATGCATCTACTTCCAGTAAGGTCTGGGAGTAAGTAGTAGGACAGAACACACTGTGCTTGGGGGCAACATTAAGTTTGTTTGACTCTTGGTCATTCCCTGCCCTTGTAGTTTTAAGGAAAAGCCTCTTGCCTTGGTGTGACACCTCCTGATACATGTCGAAATAGAAGTGGGCTTCAGTGGTATGGAAGGAGCCCTGGTGGTGCAGTGGTTAAAGCTCTGGGCTGCCAAGCTAAAGTCAGTGGTTTGAGACCACCAGGCGCTCCATAGGAGAAAGATGTGACAGTTTGCTTCTGTAAGATTTACAGCTTAGAAAGTCCTTTGAGGGCAATTCTTCTCTGTCCTGTAGGGTTGCTGAGTCGGAATTGGCTTGACAACAGTGGGTTTGATGGGGGCAGTGGTATGGGGCATGGTGCACTGAATGGTGAAAGCAGTTTGACCGCTTACTGTTGGGTGGATTTTGGGTGAAGGAGAAACAGGATTGGGGATGTGAAACTAGAGCAGATGTAAGGCTTGTTGTCATTCTTACCTGTTCTGGAGTTCTATACCTGTTGTGACATCCTTCCAGGCACCACTGCCCTTTTCTTTCCTCCTTCCCCCAATAAACTAAATCCAGCTGGTTCCGGGATTTGTCAAATGATTTGGTGAAATCAGAGCAAAGGAAAGACATGGAGAGCTATCCCTTTTACTAACCCACTAAGTTGGGATGAAACTGTTTGTAACAGTTTTCTTAAAAGGTCTATAAATAACTTAGCATTTCCTAGTAGAGAATAAGGATCTCTACAAAGGCAAATAATATCCTGGCAAAAGAGGATGAAACCAGACCTACTGGTTTTAAATCATGTTTCAACTGCATGACAGTGGCACGCTGGCTGGGATCACATGTAACGTGTCTTTTATGTGGTCTTTGGTGCTCCTTTAGCATTACTAGCCCAGTTGCAAAGGGCAGACCACCAATGCCCCAGGGACAGATGAATTTTTAGTCTTTGGAATGGTCAGATGTCCAAGGCAGCTCTCATGCAGTGTTTGTGGGCTAAATACAGCTTTCCTTCCCTTGATGGTTTCCATTTAGTCTGTTTCTCAAGTCTACAAAGGTTCCCTATCCATTCTGAAGGAAAGCAGCATTTGTTTTTATAAGGACTAATTACTCTACTAAAGGAAACCCTTATTGAATTAAATCCTCAGAGTGAGGTAATGACTGAATCTCTTCCGCAACTGCTTCTCTGTTGGCCTTGTGGGGGGAAGTTACTGTCCTCAGAGGCCTCTAGTCATTGAACATTGCAGCTCCACCTTTGAGCTGGCAGTCTCCTGGGATCTTCCTCCAAATGCAGGCGATCACAGGGTTCAGCCTGGCTCCTGCTGCAGTTGTCTGTGCAGAGACGAACTAGCCTAAGTTTGGCCTTTGTCACTTGCAATGACTAAAGACGAGCTTCGGTCTGCAGGGTGTGGGCCAGGGTCCGCACAGACCGCCAGCTTTGGGTCTGTTTAGAACAGACTGTAATTAACATAGGGCACAATATAGTCTTTCAGGAATTACCCTCTAAGAGGCAGGAATGGGGCGAAGCCTCTGCTGTAGGAACAAAGCCCGTTGGGGAGGCTCTGGGTGATCTTTCAACAGAGGCCAGTTGATTGACTGATGCGCTTCTTGCCTTGAAGCTTGGCATGTTTACCAGTACCATGGAGGAGAGATAATCCCTGCCAATCCCATTTGGGATCTGTAATTTGAAACAGCAGGAAGCAAAATGGGCAGCCACCCAGCCTGTTGTATTTCTAAAAGAAGTCCTGCCTATTGGGGGTCAGAGAAGGGAGTTTCTGGTGCTTGTAGCCTTGGGCAGTCTCCAGCTGTCCACCTTTCAGTCTCATCCTAGAGTCCGGTAGCCTCCCTTCAGATTCTTTCACCCCAGGTTCCTCCAGAATGAGGCCTTTTGATTTGCAAGGCAGAGCTCCTTAGGTTGGTGCTATCTGGTTTCCAGGCTCATACTAATACCTCTGTGATTTTTCTTTTGCAGGTTGGGCGGTCCAGACCCCTTGGACTACGTTAGCATGTATAGGAACGTGGGGAGCCCCTCTGCCAACATCCCCGAGCACTGGCACTACATCAGCTTTGGCCTGAGCGATCTCTATGGTGACAGCAGAGTCCATGAGTGAGTGTGTGCCGCCTTCCCACCCTCTACTTGTCCATTCCTTAATCTTGAGCCTCATTTTGGAGGTTCCCCTGAGCAGGGGTAGTAATGTCAAAGCCTATGAGGTTGTCACTTCTTGGGTGGACCCTCTGGGTTTCTACCCTTGGCCTGTAGCTACTCATGCCAAGGTGGTCCAGGTCAGTAGCCAAGCACTGCTCTTCTGGCGTTGGAAAGTGTCAGTGATGAGCAAGAGTTCTAAAACTGTTAGGTTTTTCCAGCTTGTTCAGGAGTGTGGGCTAAGAGGATAGGCAACATAGCTCACACTCGGAACTTGGCTTGATACTTCTGAGTCTATTTCCGTTTTCTGCCCCTCAGCATTTTGTTTTGAAAAGTTTTACACATAAAGCAAATTTGAAAGAATTTTACAGTGAACACCCATATACTCACTACCTAGACTCTACCATTAAGATCTTACTCTACTTGCTTCATTACAAGTCTGTCCATCTCTCTATTCGTCTCATTTACTTCCTGCAGTTGTTCACAGGGCATTTTTCATTCTAATATGTTTGCCATTTGCTGCTCTGTACATTTCTGTACCCTGTACATTCCTGTGTACCCAGGAGTCCCTGGAGGGTACAAATGGTTGACATGCTCAGCTAGGAACATGGCAGTTCGAGTCCACCCAGAGACACCTTGGGAGAAAGGCCTGGTGATTGGCTCCTGAAAAATCAATCACTGAAAACCTTACGGAGCACGTTCTACTCTGACTCACATGGGTCGCCACGGGTCAGAATTGACTCTGTGGCTGCTGGTGCTGGTTACACTAGTCAATCCTACTTGCCTCCCCATCTTCCCTCTTTAATCACCTAATTTATGTCTAGGGAAAGCAAATGAATCTTTTGTACTAAGTTAAGAATAATCAACTTAGTAATAAATCAGTTAAAAGAACAACAGCAATGACAGTAATCACAATAAAAGCTAATGTTTACTAAGCACTAATTATGAGCCAGGTACTCTTCATTGCTTTATATGTGTAAGTATCAACTAATTTCATTTTCATAACAACCCCATAGTACTGCTAGGTAGTAATATTAGCCCCCTTTTACTGAGGAGGAAATTGAGACGGAAAGAGGTACCATAACTTGCTTAAGATCACACAGCTTGGAAGTGACAGAGCCAGGATTTGAATACAGGTACTCTGGCTCCAGAGTCCATGCTCTTAATGGCTGTGCTATGTTATGTGTTGTCGAGTCAATTCTGGCTCATGATGAACCTACAGGCCAGAGTAGACCTTCCCTATAGGGTTTCCTGGGTTATAATCTTCCCAGGAACAGATCTCCAGTTTTTTGCTCCCAAAGAACAACTGGTGAGTTTGAACCACTGACCTTTTGCTTAGCAGCTGAGGGCTTAACCCAGGTGCTCCCAGGGCTTCTTTGGCTGTGCTCTAGTGCTTCTTCCATAATTATATCATGTACTCCAATAAGCTATCATCTGTAATTGTTTGAAAAACAATGATTTTCCCATCCATAATCTTTTCTTTTTCTTTTAAACTTTATTGTAATAAAACAAATATAACAAAAAAAAAAAAATCCATTTATAATCTTTACGGGGAGGAATTCTTCAAGTGAACTCATTAAATCATTAGCATGGTCAATCAAGAACTGATTTGATGGCTTTTGTGATTGCGTCTTATTTTTTCTTTATGTATCATCTTTCTTGCCTCATATCATCTTTTTTTTTTTATTAGGATTTGGGTGAAGATTTACAGAGTAAATTCACTTTTCATACAGCAGTTCACATATACTTTGT